TTTGGATACCTCTGTAAGTTGGACACATTTTTGTAGAACTCCAAGTGTCCAACTTAGAGTGTTTTTACTGTATGTTCAGTTGTTTGTGGATCTTGTAACAGGGCGAAGGCGTGTAGCTCGAGGATTATCGGAGACAAGACTAATTCTGCGTGCTGTCTGTTTCAGAGACTTGCGACATAATCTTCTTGCTGACGTAGATGGAAGCGTCTTCGTACCCCTTACCAGTCTCGAGAAATTGTAAGTGATATCACAGTTCAGTTTAGAATAGAAACAACACTGGTCACAAGTTGACATTACTCAGAACGTAGGCCTGTCTTATACAGAAATTGCTGTAATTTCCAACAGCTTTATCACGTGCAGAATGGCGGGTTTACCAACGACGGACTTTGACACAGCTCTTTCATACTTGATAGGGTAATTAAGGGAAGTTATATTGGATTTATGTGTAACACAGCTGACAGATAAATGTAATAGGCATAGAATTCTCGAGGGGAAAACTAAGAAAACGGCAAATTGAGGACCGAGATAGAGGAGTGGATGGACAACTAGACCAAAGAAAGAGATTTATACTAACTTTATCAGACTGAAATTTAAGTACTAGTTGGTTCAATAGTAATTACAGAGGACGGATTGCGTTGTAAACATTTTATAAAATGTTCAAATGGAAGTTAAATCCAAATTATTGTTATTACTAACATAAATCAACACAGAGAGAAAGAAAATTTATTTGGATCTTGTACCTGCTTAGCAAATGTTATTATCAAAAACTGAAAAACTCTACATAAATTATTGCAAAGCCACGTTTAAGTTTCAAATAGGCGCTTTGAAGATATAATACGTTATTTGTTTATATAAACGATCTGTAGTGGTTTCTATTATTTTGTAAAGTTGATTAGTTTTCGATGGTTCTGAAAATGAACATTACGCCCTATTTTCTGTTCTCATACAGAATTGTCCATTAGATTATTTAAGATTCTTTTTAATGCAATCCTTTCACCTACAACTGAGCTTCCCAAACGGTCTATTTCCTTCAGGTTTTCCTCCCATCTCATCCTATCTTATTCGATTAGTGATTATATTCGGTTAAAAGTATAAATAATGATAGGTTCCACTCTTTATTGTACAGCTTTCTCAAACTTTCTGCTATTTTCTCTCTTCTAGGTCGAACTTTCTCCATAGCCCCCTATTTTAAAAGACATCCAAGCTATTCAGTTTCCTTTGAATGAGAGGCCAAATTTTATATTAGTAACACAAAAATAAGATATAAGTTGAAGAGAAACCATGAAATTCACAGCTTTGTCGCTCCCTTTGGCCTGAATCTTATCATTTCCCATTCGTCTTCACACCTCGTTTCGCAAAATCTGCTTACCGTTACTCGGAGGGTGAAATATTGCTTCCGGCACAATTGTTCTTACGTAAATACTACTGAGACGTACCGGACGTAATGTGACCTCTTTAAAACAGTCAGCTAAGACAAAGGACGCGCTGAGGTGCAATGAACGCAGTTGCCAGAGAGAAAAGAGATCGGACGTGTTGAGGTTTGTCCGCCATATGCAGAACACTTGTATTGTGTCGAAACGCCACATTCACGACACAAATATATGGACGTGTGTACGAATATACATATGGACGTATGGACGTACGTATGTGCTTTCGTACGTGTGTGTAACGATAGAGCATATGTATTCGGAAGCTCATAGTTGCACACTATGTGCAATTTTGAAATTTCGGTCAAGATGTGCAACCCAAAGTAAAGTTATTAACGTGTTTCTAGATAGGAATCTTACAGAATGATTATCCAAAATTATTGTTTCCAAAATATCAGTATTTAATTACTTCGGGTTTATAACATACATTGCCCTTATGAATATTATTTTGGAGTTACAGAGCAACATATACTAAAGTGGACGTCACAAATAGTTTATACGGAGAGAACATGTTTCTTATATGTAACTCTGGAAACAAGTAAATATTTTCCTTTCATACTCCTATTACATTTCACAGAAAACTTCCACAAACATAAAAGAAGCAGTAACATGTTTGCTATGGAATTAAGAAAGAAATTTGAATGGAATTGTATGGGAATTAAGAACAGGGACGGAGGATTTTAGGCGTTGGCCTGTCTTGTCTGGCTCCAACTGATTCGACTGTAGACAGAGGAAAACAAGACTG